TAATTTAGTACTTATTTCTAATTTTTTTGTTTTTTTGTGGTTACAAAGTTGGTTAAATTTACAACATACAATCACTAGATTTAGGGATTTCCTTGTATGCATTATATGTGAATTCAAGGCAAACACATCTTTGCAGGAATCTAGAGAGGGAAGGAAGGTTAGTATGTGTCATATATTCTATGCCACAATGCACACTTACGAACAGATATGCTATAGGCCTTACAGCACATTGCTGCAAAAGGGTTAGTTATGAATATAAAGAAAAAGATAAATAACTATCTGATTATACAGTGAAAGTTTATTAAGTTTGTTATTGACATGCCTTCAAATAATGCTGTTTGTAATTTTTTTTTTTTAGAAAATATTTCAGAAATATTAAATTATATAGTTGCATCTTTTAATTCTGATTGGATGGTTGAATATGTTCATTATTTGTGACTTAATAAATTACAACATACAATTCAGCATTCTCTTCTCATTGTTTTTATTTCAGATATTTTGGGTATTTGCCACTAACATACTTAATCTAGGCTTTTTTGCAAGATGAGGAAATAAAAAATGTGATTTACAAGTACTTAATTAAAGAATAAAAATATGTTTTTGTAATTGCATCTTCTTAACCCTTTTGTGACGAGACACAGGTGAAAGGCCATTTCATCTCGTTTGTTGACTCGCATTTAAAATTTTATTGAACTACTATTTCATGAATTTATAAGAATAAGTTTGGTATCAGACTGTAGATTATAATTCAAATTTTAGAACTATATATATTACTCAGTTTTGAAATGGTGTATTTAAGTGTTTTACACTCACAAAAAAGAAACCTATCATTCTTTAGGTGTTTGAAGGACTTGTAGCATTCTGCCATAATTTAATTCTTCATATTGTAAGCCGACACTGGGCAGTTTGTACATAATTGAATAGAGTTGTTTAAACATTTGTTTAACAAGAAGTAAAAGCTTGGAATGGTCTATTCTTTCATTGTGGGTGTGTCTGTGAGCCAGACTAATTTCGGAGAATTCCACTCCTCATCAGTGACCCTGGACACTATCACTACCCATTACTCAATTTGTTGATTTAAAAGTAAATGAAAAAGAAAATATAAGACCTTCTTATTTTATATTTTAGCTTGTCAAAATTCGTATGAAACTATAGACTTAGTATTTTGACTTCACAATCCAGTACTGCACAAAAATCAATGTTTATCTGTGTTTTTTAAAGGCTAAGATATTGCTCACATAATAAATCAAACTTAGTGGCACCCGCTCACCTCCTTCCATTTTTGGAAACACTCCCTCATATACACTTTCCTCTGTATATGCCAATTGTTCCCAACCTTTTCTCCACCAAGGACCCCTTTTATTATCATTTTCCCCCCGACGGATCCCATGTTTTTGAAAGATTCCGCCTACTCATTCTCCCACTTTTCACTATCAAATAAAAAACATGTATAACTCAGTGTGCAATTAAAAAAAAACATCAGTATTAAAAAACTTACTTGTTTAATGAGATGGTATTACCTACGCGGACCCCAGGCTGGGAACCACTGATATATGGCATGAATAACCAATCGGAAACTCAGAATGTCCCCCTAGTGGTTTTCTCAGCCTTTCTAACATACCTAGCACCATTTCTTTCTTTTAAACCAAGATTTCAATGACGTAGGTTGTGTCTTTAGTCTGCTCGAAATTTCATATTTTTTAGACCCAAAT